CCCAGGCTTTTCAGTGAATCATGTAAGCAACTACATATTGACATCCCTAGCTAATTCTTCCTTCCGCTACTAGCTACCACTTCTTGGGGAGAACTTTTTCTGTTTATATAGGAAGTGCCTATGCCACAGTAGCATAGCTGCAGCAGTGCAGCTGAAACATCAGTAGAATAGTGTAGGGATGTAAGCAACTAGTCAAGTAATTACTCGACTGAGTCACTGCCTCTGTATCAGAGGCAGCAAGAGCAGGGAACAGGAGCCAGTGCTGGGGGAAGCCATCTTAAAAGCCGGTTCCCTCCAGCACTGTCTCCGCAGGGGGTCAGAGGAGGCAGAGGTGCAGTGGAGGACCTGGCATAAGCCGGGACTGAGCAATCTCGGCTCGCACTGGGTCCCAGATGCTGCACCTCTTCTTTTTAAATGGAAGAGCTGCCAGGCTCGTACTATATTTTAAAAGCAGAGGTGCAGCATCTGGGACCTGGCAGGAGCCAGGACTCAGCTGTCCCAGCTTGTGCTTGGTCCAAGACCGCTGCAGCTCTGCCTTTAAATGTAGCTTTAAAAAGCAGAGCCACAGCAAGCCCCCTTATCAACTAATTGAGTAGTCAATGACAATTCCGTCAGCTACTCAGTTTACTAACCGCTATTTAACGTCCCTAGAATAGAGATGCCTGAAAATGAATCTGGGAGAGATTTAATTGAAATAGTGACCCAGTTGTCTCCAATTAGCTTTTGAGATCCACTGAGACCACAGTAAAAGGTGTCATGGCTGCAGATAGCAGCAAACAACACATTTCATTGTTTTGATCTTCTTTTTTGGAGATGGTGTCAAAAGCTGTGAATCATTTGGGGGTGGGAGGGAGTGCCTGGTGATCTTACTTTTGGCCTATAAAATAATTAAAATTGCTATGAGCACTCATGTTTAATGACCCTTAGATGTATAAGAGTGTTTCCTAAACTTGATGCAGGGTTTAACAGTAGTTAATTTTTTTCTATCAGATATTAATTTTTTACTGGAAATGCTGACAACATTTATATTTACGTTATTTTATATTTCAAAAATGGTTTGAGATGACCATATTCAATCTCACTTGCACAAGGAAGATGCTCTAATCTTCGTAATATAGTCTGTGTGGGGTGTTGTCCTGCAGTATTAGATTAATGCAGTTCTTCAGATTAGTTAGTCTTTAAAATGTAACATTCCTGATGGAATTTGAACATATGTTGAAGAAAGAGAAAGGCAAAATGTTTTCAGAAATTAATCAGTTTTTGCTTCCTGGATGCTTTGTCTATGGCACCTTTTTATCACCTGTATTGAACCCAACTTGTCTGAAGTCGGCAGGAAAAGCTCAGCAGTTGCCATGTAGGTAGAGCAAGATGTTTTTGTTGGGTCCCTCCCCATCATAACCAGTGACAACACTCTGCAGACTCCCTGCTGCTGATGGCAAATATGTTAGCTTTCTTATTAATATGACAAAATTAATTTCACATTTTTTCTTTCTTCCCATATGTGCTTCTATAAATATCACTTGAAACTGGAACAGAATCTTAAACTTTAAAGAGGCAAGTTTATCTGATATTAGAGATGTAAAAATATAAAAAAAGATTAACCACGTAACTGATCAAAATTCTATCAGTTACACGGTTAACCAGGGGCTGTAACAGCGTCCTCCCCCATGGTACACCCTCCATGGAGGACAGCTCTGGCCAGACTGGGCACCAGTTACCTGGTTACCCATAACCATCACCTGGTAATGGTGATGCTTACTGGTTGCCCATTTACATCCCTACTTGATATATAGTTGAACTGCATTAGCTAACAAATGAAGAAAACTAGCTGTAGAATTTAAAGAAGAATTTAAAGTCTGCCTGTTTATCGACTGACTACCTGTTTGACTGTTATCAAATAGTGTCAGATATCCCAGCAAGAATGTTCTAATGTAGGAAAGACACACTAGGCTGAAGAGGTTGTGGCCTAACTTGTTGACAGCATTAAGATGCCTAATTAAATGTCTTGATTGCTCACTGTATACCATGCTAATACCACCTGTTGGGGAAAAGATGACCTAATTAAAAGTGGAGCACACAACATTTGTTCTGTTTCATATATTCCAAGCCCAGAAGAAACCATTATGATCATATAGTCTGACTTCTTGTATAACATGAGCCAGAGGCCCTCAACCTTTCCAGACCCCTCTACCTCTTCAGGAGTCTGATCTCTCTTGCTTACCCCCAAGTTTCAGATCATTTAAAAGTTACTAACAAATCAGACATAAAAATGCAAGTGTCACAGCATGTTGCGGTTGAAAAACTTGTTACTTTTAGGGATGTTAAAATGCGTTTATTTAGGTAAACACGTAATCGCTGAGAATTTCAGCTGTTTGACATTTATATGCTGGGGGAGGCGATTACATGCTTACATGCCAGGGGATGCAGCACCCCAAGAGCTGGTGCTCACAGGGAGCCAACTTTTAATTAGGCTCATCCGTTCACCATTTAAACATGTATACTATCACATCCATAAGTTTCACACACCCCTTTTTTTGCTAGACTGAAGAGTCCATTATCAAATATTTGTTCCTCATGTAACTACGTATAAATTGTAATCATCACCCCCTAACCTCTCTTACTAAATAGAAAGACTCAAGGAACTCAATCACTAAGTCAGGTTTTCTAATCCTGCTCTTCTTTATGTGTATATCTTTGTATAGCAGACAATTTACTAGGTAGTCTAAACAAACTAAAAGACATGCTGTCTGCCCCAAAGAGTGTACCCTCTAGACTGAGTAGGCAAAGATACAGAAATTAATTCAGGAAGGGAGATGTGCTTCACAGTTATTAAATTTCATCCCCCAACACAAAGTGAAAGCTAGTTAAGCTGCTTGAAGAGTTAGCCTGCTGCCTGCCTAGTAAAAGTGCATTGAAATGACTTTTATGATTGGTATGTTTTTATTTGTTTAATTGAAAGTGTTCAGTCTTGGGTAGCATTCATCTTTAAATGCTAATCTAACAGTGCTAAAAAAGTATTAATTTTTAGAACTTCATGTCATAGATAAATGACAAAGTTAAAATAATTAAGGTTACTTTGTTGTAATTATGCTCAAGTAAGGCTAAGCCTGGTGGAGAGACCATAAAGTCTTAACTCTTTTTTGTTATTGTTTTAGTAAATATCACTTTAAAATATTTGAGTGTTTTTGACATGAAAAGATTATGATGTAAAGAAGTGGGATTTGTTTTTATTTGGGGAAGAAGAGCCTAATACAGAACCAGACTCTTGATGCATGTTTTTTTTAAAAAGGGTATGAGTCTTGAAACTGTTAGGAGGAATTTGGCATAGCTGACCAGTATATGTCAGACATCTATTAAAAGTTGATATTATAAGAGTCCAGTGACAGGTAGGATGCATACTGAAATGGGATTAGAACAGGGATGAGATAAGAGCACAGTACTAAATTCTGTGGAATCAGCAGGCTTGTGGATTAAAGAATTAAATAAAAACAGGCACCCAGTCAAGAGTAAGAACTGGAAGTGTTTGCATGCAAATACAAGAAATGGAAAAGGAAAAAAAGGTAAACTAGGGTGTCTTGTGACGGACAAGGATCTTAATACAACAGGCATGTGGAAACTTGGTAAATTGCCAAACTAGGGTGTCTTGTGACGGACAAGGATCTTAATACAATAGGCATGTGGAAACTTGGTAAATTGCCCCCAAACAAACAAACAAACAAACAAACAAAAAACCACCACCCAAAATAAAAAACAAAACACAGTGATATGGTGCAGCATGTGGTATTACAAACTATCCAGGAAAGACACAGGAGGCTGAAGCGGATGAGGAGCAGTGCAGTATCTAAAGGGCTCCATAGAATCTAATGGAATAAAAATTCTGAGTGAAGATGACCACACGGTGGAATCTATCTAGATACAAATAAATTGTAAAAATGTTAATCTATCCATAGGGCTATACTACTCACTTCTGTCCTGAGTGATACAAATTATATAAACTGCAAATAAATTGTAAAAATGTTAATCTATCAATAGGACTATACTACTCACTTCTGTCCTGAGTTATACAAATTATATAAACTATAGTGTAGACATAGCATAGATTAGTTGGGACTAGGGATGTTAGGTATAGTGTAATTGAATAGTCGTGTAACTGCATGAAATCTTAGCGGTTACATGACTATTTGATAGTCCCGGGGGGGGGGGGAGGACAGCAGTCAGTGCTCTTTAGCCCTACTCCTGGGGTGCCCTCTGCCACCCCCACGCTGCTGCCTCTATCAGACTGGCCGGTGCTGCTGGCCAGCAGCTATTTGCCGAGGCGTTTGCTGCCCCCCAAGGTCATTTATCTTCCTGTGTTTGCTGCCCCCCTGTGGTCATGAGTGAGTATAACTCCCTACTCTCACACCTCTCCCTTTCAGTTTGAAGTGAAATAATTGCATTCCAGAGGCATCCCAAACCCTCACCTTGCTTTAAGTTGTGAAAAGAGGAAGCTGCATACCAGATTTGATAGTCCTAGTTTTTGCTGTTTAGGAGGAGTTCTTGAACAGACAGACTCAGAGGAACAGACAGATGCACTTCTGTAAAAAATATCTATATAGATATATAGGTATGACTAAGATGAAACATTAACAGTGGAAAGTAGAGCTAAAGTTGGTTGATACATGTCGTTAGATGGAAATATTTCTATCAAGATCTGTCACACTGCATGCTAGTTTTTGTTTGTTATGATGTGCTTAGTTTGACTTCCAAAGTGCCTATTAATATGAAGTTTCTGATTAATTCTTTCAACCACTTATCTTCTGCACAGGATTTGAAAGTAATCCCTTCCCTGAAGTGTTGGTTTATTGAGCATGCAGGATATGTTCAGCTTCACTGAAAGCAGGAGAGCCAGGGCTGTTTATTTTTAGTGGCTTATTTCTTGTATTTCACCCACTAAACAATTTAATGTATTATCAAAGTCAGTGCTGCAAAAAGGCTCACCACCATCTCATTTTCTTACTCAGTTCCCAGGGCTTGAAAATAAAATTGAATGATTAGAAGACAGCCAGCAGAGGAACGTTTGAGATTCCAAGTCTATGAAGGCCTACATTTGGAGCAAGGTACCCTTGGTGCTTGGGAAGCAACAGAATCAAAGTGGGTTTTGCATTTTGATTTGAAAAATAGATGACGTATACCTTGATAATATGGAGATTTGTCAGTAGCAATAGCGCTACTTGACACACAGTGTGAATGTACTATAAAACTCAGCCTTGTTTGAAAACCATAGCTCGGTAGGGTTCTTTAATTGACAAAAGAACTGATTAGGTATTTGTACATCTAAAGGAATTGACTGAACTATAGATTAGCCTGAATAAAGGAAAGGGGTAGAACACTTCTGGGTTCTGTTCTGTTTCATTCAGGTAGAACGCAAGCCTCTCATATCATTTTAAAGACTCCAGTAGAGAGGATTTTAACTTTTAGGAAAATATTATTGTACTAAAGAATACAGTAGTTAGAGAGGGATAGCTCAGTGGTGTGAGTGTTGGCCTGCTAAACCCGGGGTTGTGAGTTCAATCCTTGTGGAGGCGATTTGGGGCAGAAATTGTCAGGGATGGTGCTTGGTCCTGCTGTGAAGGCAGGGGACTGGACTCAATCTTTCAAGGTTCCTTCTAGTTTTAGGAGATAGGCAATCTCCACTCCCTAGAATTATTGTATTTATTTTGCAGTGTTACTTAAATGCTAATTTGTTCTTTACCTATTTGTTTCTCTTTTGGTTTTCCAATGCTAAAAGTCAGGATTGATTATGAAATTAAACTAACATTTTTTCAACAGGGTGCAGGCACACTTAATTACAGTTGGCTGGTTGTCAGTGAAACATCTCCTTCAGACACCTACCCAATTCTTTTTTTAAACCGGAATCATAATTATGCTTCTGGTGCCATAAATGTATTATATTTTGTGTGGAATTAACAGATAGTCATATAATCCTTGAGATTTGAAAGCATTAGGGGCATTTCTGAATTACTTAACTATTACTCCAGATTGTGAGGCAACATGTCAACAATTGCTTTGGGGAACATTGGATTAGCTCTCTTAAAACTTTAAACAAAACCTCTTTGGGTAGGATTAAAAGATTTTGAATTTGAAAACTAATTGTTTAATCTTTTATGTATTAAACTAGAAGATTTACCCAGTGTTGCTAGGTCCTTAACTCAATTTTTGTTTTTTGGAAAATAAAATGAAAATGCACAGGCTTGATTTGAATCATTGCTTTGGGGTGTGACTGGGGTTGAGGTGTTCAGTATGCAGGCTGCCCTGGGAAGAGAGGACTACCCTAGCCCTCTCTCATCTCAGCATCTTGGGGCTAGGTGAGCAGCGCCTCTCCATGGTTGCTGCAGCTTCAGCGGGCACAGCCGAGGGAGGGGTGCATGTCCCCTAGCTGGGGCAGGTCGAGGTTCATCTGCCCCCTGAACTCACTAGGCAGAGTGAAGAAGGCAGCAAACTGTTCACTTTCCCCTTCACTCCTTGTTGAAGAGGAACAGCTCAGGCTCACTGATTAACCGTGTAAACGGTTACACGTTCACATCCCTACAATGTAGGGGAATAGTTTATAGCTGACAATACTTTTAACAATGAAGCCATAAAATACATTGTATATATGGTGGTTCCAGAGGACAGTAATTGTTGCGTAGGGCAAAATGTTCATGTACCCATTTTCCATGCAGTGACTTAGCCTGCTTTGGGTTTTTAAGTGCCTACAGATTTTTATTTCATTCTTTAGTTTTAAGTATTACACTGAGGTTAACCGGAGCCATTTCTCTAGTCCATCTGTGATATTATTTAAATAATGAATCTGGGTTGTAATATCTGTTGGAATCCTTGTTTTAGTAGTGAGATGGTTGGTGACAGATGGTTAAAAGGTTCAAAAAATCCACGCTTTCACTTGTGCAAAATGAATGCAAACAGGTTCCTAGTAATTAATATTAATTGCAGCTAAAAGCTAGTTTTGTGTCTGAGACTAAAGTTTGACTTATCAGTATCTCAGATTACCAGAGGTCCGGAAAGGACCATTGTGATTATCATCTGACCTCCTGTATAACAGAGACCATATTTAGCATCTCTGTGGTAACAGCTGCTAACAGAATAGTAATTTTCAGTGGTTTACCTGTACTATAGTTTTATCAGATGGAGTACCTAGTTCAGTGTGGTCATTGTGTCACTACGCTCAGCGCTATACAAAACAACATCCCAGTGTCTGGGAGCTTACAAGACACAAGAACAAAATGCATGAAAACCGCACCTCACTGAGACCTGACTGCAGGTTGCCGAATTGATAAATTCATACCTGCCAGTCAGAGTTAACAATGAGGTGGCTTTTAGTACATCTTCTACTGACATAAGCACTTGGTTGCCAACATATCTGATATACAGACAGCTTTTAGTAAATACCCAATGTGTGGTAATTCTAACAGCAGTCCCATCAGTCTAGAGCATACAATGCATGAGGCTAATTAATGCTCTCCTTCTGTAGAGACTGTCCAGTTTGGCCAATATACATGGTAGAAGGGGCATTGCTGGCACTTGATGGCATAGATCACATTAGTGGATGTGTAGTTGTACGAGCCTCTGATATGATGGTTAATGTGGTTAGGTCCTGTGATGATAATGCCTGTTTAGATATGTGGACAGAGTTGGCATTGGAGTTGATTGCATGGGTGGATTCCTGGATCAGTCTGATGGAAGTGGCTGCGTGATTATTGGTGTTATAAGGAGGAGGGAGAAAAGTTGTTCTCCTTGGCCTCTGATTATATGAGAAGAAGCATTTTGGGTGTGATTAGGGGAGCAAGTTGTCCATCAGAGAAGCTAGCAAGGAAGCTGTTCCTTTAGTGGAGGTGGAGATGGCATAACAGTGAGGAAGAAGGGACAGACTTTAGAGACTGCTGTATAGGAAGAGGCAACAAAACTGTTGCCACCCTGTATGTGGCTTGGGGGAAGTGGAAAGTGCGGTGACACCAAGCCTGGATAGCGGGATTGACAGGGGAGAGAGGTTGGCGAGAGGAGTGGGATGAGCCCACTGCTCACTCTGCTTGGTAAGCAAACCATAGTGTGGATGGAGGCTGACCAACAAGGGAGATATGGGAGGAGTTGCTCTACGGCATGGTCTGAAGCCAAATGAGCAGGTGAGATGAACTGGGAGAGAGAGAGACCAAAGACAAAACCTTGATGGGCATTTACAGAGTGGGGGAGAGAAGTCATTGATGGAATCATGTACTGTGGGCCTAAGGGAAGTAAATACAAGTCCTAGGCTTCTGCCTCCATTCTTTGTTTACAATATGGGCTCAGGAATTGTATACAGTTTTCCTTTCCTGTCTCTGTGACAGTTGTCTGCTCTAAGGAGGTATTCCATAGAACTTCTCCATCCTGTTAGGGGAGCTGACATCAACTCCTGTAGTTAGTGAATTGAACCTTTGGGGTTTGTGTAACAAAGCTAGTTTCACAAGCCCTTCTTCTCAGACAGATGATGCCCATCACAGAAGTTTATTTTAGATTATATAATATACTAAATCATTTATAAACACATCATTTTAGTCCTCTCTAATTCCCTTTATTTTATTGCAGCTGGTAGCTAAATTGAATATAGATCAGCTGAGAACAGAATTTGCTGAACTTCTACATTCTTAGAGAATTCTAATTTTAGAACACTTATTTTAATGAACTACACCAAATGTATGACTTCTCTGTAAATAATCAGACTAACAACAAACACCATTTTCTGATTTTTCTCTCTGAAGAAAACATTGTTCCCTTTTTCAAGTGGCTTTTAAAATAAAGCAAGTATACATAATACAAATAAATAACCAGGAATGGTGCATAAGAGCTAAGACCCTGTTGTTTCTGTTGAGCAGCTGAATAAATTACTAAATTAATAATGTAAAGCATGCTTCTTAGCCATTAGAGGTAAAACACTTCTTGTTCCAGTCAAATGTGAGCGAGGTTTTAATATTAGGTTAGTAATGCATATTAAAAACATAATCCCAGCTATCCATATAAAATGATGTGGCCTGCATTCGCTATTAACATTTGAGAGCGATCTTGGCATCATTGTGGATAGTTCTCTGAAAATATCCACTCTGTGTGCAGTGGTAGGCAAAAAAAGCAAACAGAATGCTGGGAATCATTAAGAAAGGGATACATAATAAGATAGAATATATCATATTGCCTCTGTATAAATCCATGTAATGCCCACATCTTGAATACTGCATGGAGATGTGGTTGCCGCATCTCAAAAAGAAAAAAAGAAAAAAGAGAAAAAGTTGGATTTGGAAAAGGTTCAGAAAAAGGAAACAGAAATGATTAGGGATATGGAATGGCTGCCACACAAGGAAAGAATAAGAAGACTGGGGCTTTTCAGCTTAGAAAAGAGATGACTAAATGGGTATATGATAGAGGTCTATAAAATCACGAGTGGTGTGGAGAAAGTAAAAGCTATTTATTCCCTCCCATAATGAAAGAACTAAGATCATGCAATTAAATTAATAGGCAGCAGGTTTAAAATAAAAAAAGGAAGTTTTTCTTCACGCACCATATAGTCAGCCTGTAGAACTTGCTGCCAGAAGATGTTGTGAAGCCAAAGAAGGCTTTAAAAAGAACTAGATTGATGGACCTAACCTCCATGAATCTATGACTCTTATCCAGGATGGGTAGGGATGGTGTCCCTATCCTCTGTTTGTTAGGGCTGGGAATGGGTGACGGGAGATGGATCACTTGTTGATTACAGGTAGTCCCCGAGTTACGCGGATCCGACTTATGTCGGATCCGCAGTTACGAACGGGGATTTTCTCGCCCCGGAGGACTCGAGCAGCGGGACGCCTGGTCCCGCCGCCCGCCTCCTCCGGGGCGAGAAAAGCTGTTCCCTGTCTCCCTGGTCTGCT